CCTGATGCGGGGCTTGAATTCACAGACCACAAGATCATGACCTGAGCCGAAGTCAGACGCTCAACCAACTGAGCCACCCAGGCGCCCCTGGCAGGGAACTTTCAAAGTTAGTGACAGAAGGAACCAGGATATAGGGTCTCCTGACCCTACTGGATTGAGATATGGCTTCCAGTTAGGAGTTAATGTATACTTGATTCTAATTATTATGCTATGTCATTGATGGATGTAGTAACTAGTTTCCAAAGACGGCCCACAATGAACCTCAATTCTGGACATTCACACCCATGTATCATCCACTCTTGCATTCAAACTGAGCTGACTCTGTCACTTGCTGAATAAATAGCACAGCATCTGGAAATGACGTTGTGAAACTTCAGAGGCTAAGCCTTAAGGAGTGTGCAGCTTCCACATTCTTCCATTATGGAACACTCCATTTTGAACCCAGACAACATTCCAGGAGGAATGACACTCGAGCAACCACATGGAGAAGTCTACATGGGCAAGAACCAAGACCCAGGTCAGCATACTCAGCTGCGCTCCCAGCCAGCTGCCTATCACTAATTTTCTGGCTATGTGAATGTGACTACAATGGACCTTTTAGCCATCCGCCCCAGTGGATTTCAACTGTCTACTCAACTCTCAGAGTAAGAAATAATAAATTGTTTTTTCAAGCCTCCAAGTTTTGGAGTGGGTGTTATACCACATGAGATAGATGAAATGACAGAAGAAATCTCTTACCTGTTAGGCTGGAAAGAGATTCGGTCATAGCCCGTGAGTTCACACAAGTCCTTCTCAAGCTCTCGGAAAAGTTGCTGATATCCTTGAGCTTGGTCCAGAGGCACAAACGGGTGGATATTTGCAAACTCCTTCCATGTAATAGGCTGAAGAGCAATGGGGGAGAAGACACATGCATATGTACATATTGTAATAGTAATTACCAATACTAACTTTAATGATGATGATGAGTATAGTAATAGCTAGCACAAAGAGTGCTTACTATGTGCCAGGCACTGTTTTAAGCACTTTAAATATATTCATTTAAACCTCACCACAATCTTAACAGATAAATACTGTTACTGCCATCATTTTACAAGTGGGTCACAAAAGCCCAGAAAGGGAACTTACACAAAAATATAAACTTTTTCTGTCTTTTCAGGAACAAAATATATTTATATCCATGAAATCCAATGAGTTGTTGGAGGTAAGGTTTACTCAAACTCTTATACAGCACCTATATTATTCTGTCTTCATTGAGCAGAACAAGACATAAACCAAAGTAAATGGGAAAAACCTTTCTAATAACAATATAACATGATTTCCTTTGCCTGATGTCATTTGTTGTATGGAAAAAAAGGAAGATAGTTTTGCTAAAATGGATCCTAGCCTAGTAGAGATACTTACCAACTACATGATCAGGTTACAACAAATCTTCTGTTGATATAAGAAATAAATGAGGGGCGCCTGGGTGGCTCAGTCGGTTAAGCGTCCGACTTTGGCTCAGGTCACGATCTCACGGTCTGTGAGTTCGAGCCCCGCGTCGGGCTCTGTGCTGACCGCTCAGAGCCTGGAGCCTGTTTCCGATTCTGTGTCTCCCTCTCTCTCTGACCCTCCCCCGTTCATGCTTTGTCTCTCTCTGTCTCAAAAATAAATAAACATTAAAAAAAAAAAAAGAAATAAATGAAAACCTCCAGTCTATACCCTTCTGGTATTTCTAGAAAGAAGGCTTAAGGTTCTGAATTCTACTGAGCATAATAAACTCCAAGTTGATAAAAGCTTTTTACAATGCAGATTTAAAAGGGGGAATAGGAGGGGCACCTGGCTGGCTCACTCAGTAGACATATGACTCTTAGTCTCGGAGTTGTGATTTGATCTCCACATTGGATGGGGAGATAACTTAAAATAAAATCTTAAAAAGTACACAAATAAATAAATAATGGGGGTAGGAAAGCATAAATACTTTAATATTAGTTAATTATTAATTACATACATTAATTTAATTAATAATGTTTATTTTAATTTAAAAAAAAATTTTACTCATAAATTTAAATGACCAAGTCACAATAAAACTAGGGTTTGTCCTGAGATTGTTGAATACCAGGTAAAGAATTATTTAGACAGTTACTAAATCACAGTCCCAGTAGCTTTCTCTAGTTATCCACTTATGTACAAGCTAGAACACTGCTCCTATTAAATTCCTTCCTAAGAAAAGTTTTTAAGAAAACCTCCTACTTACTGCGAGTTCAGATGAGCTGTTGAGCTTCATGGTGCAGGACCCCTTTAAGAAGCACATCCAAAATGTATCACATTAATAATTTCCTCTTATCCCTCTGATCTCCCGACATGGCCACCCCTTCATTCCTCTTGCAGCATATCAGCTGCAACCCAAAGAGGTGGAACCAGGCGTGAGATAGAAGCAGGAATAAAAGGCAACAATTACCAGTGGAATCATGCTGTGAACAAGGGAAATATCTTTGTTTTCCAATTTCTTCATATATCGGACAATGTTTGTTTCTGAGTGATAGCTATGAACACAAAACACATGATTTGGGCCATTATAATGAGCTAAGAGTCCATGCACATCCTCCTGAAAGATAAGACACACTGAGATCTACCTTCAAACTACAGATCAAATTGAGCCATAGCCAACATGCTAACAAAGTGTCAGAAGCAAGGACATAGAACCCCCACAAACCTCAGGGATGCACCAGGACAAGAAGATTCCAGTGGTCAGGTTAGGAAGAAGAGGATGTTGAGTTCCTGGGTATGAACATCAGCCTGGCAACTATGCATCCAAACTCCCCTCTTCCTGACAAGTGGGTTAGGGGTTACAGTTCCAATGGAGCAGAGCCAGCAACAGGTGGCTTTGCCACAATCAGGAATGGAATCCTTATGGCAATGGTTTCTTAGTGAGCCATGGCTGAGCTACAAAAACCAGATCCATCTCACAGGTGGATTCAGAAGCCACTCTCTATTGTACTCCTGAGCCACAGTACACAATGCAGAAGTCTCACACCCAAGCAAACCTGTTAAACACTTGATGTGTGAGGAATGAGCTAGTTCTCTTGAAGGCAGTCCCTGGAATACCTCTCCGCTCCTCACCCATGCTTTCGGCAACCAGCTCCTGCATGGAGAGACCACAGAGTAACGGAAGGGAAGCAAGCCTTGAATTGCTCAGCATGCATTCTGACAAAGCACTGCAGATATACTACCACTGCCCACCTCCCTGGCATCTGTCATGGTTAGGTAAAAGGTATCAGGAGTCATGAATTGTGGCAATTGTCCAGAGCACTATTTTCAAAGTCTGTTGACCTCTGCCTTAGATAAAAAAGGAAATATGACAATTTTTATGCCCCCCACTGCACCAAAAAACTTCTCCTGCGTGTTCCTTGAGTAATGAAGCAAGTTCCAGGAAGTTATTTTGAAGTGCTATCCAGGGGCGCCTGGGTGGCGCAGTCGGTTAAGCGTCCGACTTCAGCCAGGTCACGATCTCGCGGTCCGTGAGTTCGAGCCCCGCGTTGGGCTCTGGGCTGATGGCTCAGAGCCTGGAGCCTGTTTCCAATTCTGTGTCTCCCTCTCTCTCTGCCCCTCCCCCGTTTATGCTCTGTCTCTCTCTGTCCCAAAAATAAATAAACGTTGAAAAAAAAAAAAAAATTTAAAGTGCTATCCAAAAAAGTTATGATGATACCACTCAAGTAAGGATTCTCACTTTACACCGCTTTTGTCTTTGACAACAAGTTTAATAAAATACACGCACTAAAATGGGCGAAAGGGCAATCTCCTCAAATGAGGCTGAGAAAACTGGTATCCACATGCAAAAGAATCAAGTTGGATCCTTATCTTACAACATATAGGAAAACTCAAACTGAACTAAGAACCTAAATTTAAAAGCTAAAATTATAAAACTTTAAGAGAAAAACATAGGCACAAATCTGCATTACCTTGGATTTAGATTTTGGTTTCTTAAATACGACACCAAAAGCATGAGTAACATGCTTTTGAGTAACAAAAAGAAAAAATAGAGTGGACTTTAATTAAAATAAACTTCTGCATATCAAAGGCACTATCAAGAGAGTTAAGAACTCACAGAATGGGAGGAAATGTTTCCATATCATATCTGATAAGGGTTAATATCCAGAATATATAAATACATGTCTTGTTCTTCATTCTGCCTCAGGCTGATAGTATAGCCATCTAGAGCCCTCAGTGGATACTTCATAAATATTCCTTAAATGCATGGAACAAATACCTGTGGTTAAATTTAATGCAGAATTCTAGACAGAATATGGCTTATTCAGTCCTATTTATTACTTAAGGCTTAAAAAAGAACAGTGTGATATCTCTTTGATGATTTATATTTGTTATCTAGTACTCTAGATAAGTCCCTTGTTAAAGAGTGCATAGGCAACCAGGACAGAACCTATTACTACTGACCACTTTCTTTTTCATCCGTGCAAGTGTAACCTTTCTCCTCACATGGCCCTGCAATTTCATTGTTTCAGAAATCAACTCAGTCACACTATACTGTGTCTAGTTCTCAATATAATCCTTGGCCTCTAAGCCTTTATAGTTGCTTTTCCAAGTGTCTGGAACCTCTCCAGCCCCAGCCTCCTGGTCATTAACTGTGCCATCTTAGATTCACAGAGTCCTCAGAGCCTAACATATTACCTGCCATATATTAGGTGTTCAATAAATATGTTACATGAATGAGTATTTTCCCAGAATTGACATAACCAGGACACCAATGTCATGATTCCCCATTTGGGACAGTTTGAATTAAACACCATTAACCATCCTTCAAATTAGCTTGACTTCCAGTTCCTAGCTAGGGCCCACAGCAGTGACCACTAGCTATAGGGGATGGTCAGTGGCATAATTTTTAACAGCAGTCCACCCAGTTTCACACTTGGAATCACAAGAGGCACAGCTATCTTGGACAACACCTCAAATACTCATTGAGAGAAATGTATCTTCTTATTTTACTTACAGCAGATGACTCACAGCCAAAGATCCACAATAAGTCATCCAGATCTTTTTCACTCACTGTTTCATCAAGAGAAATACCAAGCTGCAGAAATGAAAATTAAAGGGAAAACATCAGCCCTAAACTCCAAGACCAGTCAGTGGAGAAACCCCAAGAGAGGTCAAAGGGAAGAAGGTGCTAGATAAAACTCTCAGTTGTTTCAAACTATCAGGGTGCCATTATACCCAAGTTGGCCCGTAGGTGAAGTTGACTAGACGAGTTTAGTTTAGTTTAGTTTAGTTTAGTTTAGGTTTTATGAACCATTTCTGGACCCCAGCAGTCTCATGCCTGCAGGTCACCCCTACTGGTGCTAGATAGACTTATCCTTTTCTTCCTTTAACTTACTTCATTATGGTGCTTATCACACCATACTGGGTATGATACTATACTTCAACAGTCATCCTGGGAAGAGTATTATGAGCAAAATATGTGCCTAGGAGTATCATACATGAAAACATAAAGTCTTAAGGAAAGCTAAGAATGAATTATCCTTTGAAGGTCACAATGTTCAAAGTTGGAAAACAAAATTGTTTGTAAGACGTAGATTGTGCCTAAAATTTAAATATTGGGTTTTTAAATAAAGAAGAAAATTTTTAGTGAGTAAAGTTATGAAATCTTAGAGAATATATAAAGAAATGGAAAAGTTTTACTTACCATGCCATCCTCAAAGAGCCGAAAATTGATTTGCCGCTGAGTGGCCCTGTCCAAAACCTCCTTCACTGAGCAGCCACACTGAATCTTCAAAGTGTCAAAGAACAATTCATGCTGGAGTTGATGTCCAGCTCGCTTGAGACCTAGATAAGATAGGAGAGCCACCAGTCCCCAACAAAGAAATCTGCTCCTCTGCTCTTGGCATTCCACAGAGAAATAAAGAAGTAAATTCTAACCATTGTCTATTTCTGGTCTTAGCCAGTGTTTTGGTAACTGCTTTTTTTTTGTAAAGAAATTAAATGCTTATTACTATAGTAGAGACTATTATGAAATAAATACATATAAAAAGAAAAATCACCATAATCACCATCTAGGAATAACCGTGGGTTACATTTTGGTGTGTATTCCTCTAGAACTGTAATGTATGTGTGTATGTGTGCATGTGTGATATATCATACATCTCTTTACACTTTAAAAAAATTTAATGTATCATGAATATTTTTATTTTCTACAGATCAATAACTATATCATTATTTTTAATGGCAGTGTCACATTCAAATGTATGCATGTGCCAGAGTTAATCAATTATTTTTGGACATTTAGGCTGTTTTCAAGATTGTGGTATTATAAATAATGTTTCAATGGACACCTGATTATTTCCTTTAGATACATTTCTAAGAGTAGAATTTTTGGTCCCAAATGTAGGCATATTTTAAAAGGCCTCATAAAAGTTATACCAACATCAGCATTCTTCTTAATCTTTGCCAAAGTAATGGGAGAAACACTATTGTTTCAATTTACATTTCCTTAATAGTGAGGCTGAAATGTCATATGTTTATTGGCCATTGATTTGTACATGTATTTCTTCTAAAATTTGGGGCATCTGTGTGGCTCAGATGGCTCAGGTCATGATCTCACAGTTAACAAATTCGAGCCCTGTGTCAGGCTCTGTGCTGACAGCTCGAAGCTGGAGCCTGCTTCGGACTCTTTGTCTCCCTCTCTTTCTCTCTGCCCCTCCTCTGATCACACACTGTGTATCTCTCTCTCAAAAAATAAAAATATTAAAATAAATAAATAAATAAAATAATTTATACTTCATGATCTTTGGTCATTTTTCTCTGAGTGATCATCCCTCTCATTTATGGGGTTGAGGGATAAGAAAAATCCATATTAAAATTTTTAACACTCAGTATATCATAGATGTTGAAGTAATTTCTTATTTGACTTTTAATTTTGAATACAGTATTGGACATACAGTGAGTTTTCTATTTTACTTACTCAGGTTTATCAGTCTTGTTATGTTCGAAAGTTTTTAAATAGATAAATGACTCACCTTCAGACAGAATCAAAGTGGCATTATGTACCCTCCTAGCAATATGCTTCAGCCCATGAGAACCATGGTAGATTGCAAACATGGCAGCCATATTCGCCAAGAGAGCCTAAAACAACAAACAGCATTTAAGGAACCATGTTCAATAACATGATGGAAGACAATTAGTGGGAAGGAGTATTCTCTTGACTTGAAATGCCAAAATTAAAAACAGGGACAAAACAAAATGATCTGCATTAACTATGAGAGGGGGAGACCATTCTCAACCTACCTGACTATCTGAGGGGCAAACACAACATCCAATATAGTCAGATCGAATTTGACGACTATAAAGGAGAAGGTTCATTGATGCAATATAAACATGTCACTCATAAGGGGAAGATCAGGCTGTCATTAAATATTGATGGGCAATATTTAATGTTGCAAGATGTGGAGCGTTAAAGTCATCAGGGAAAAAAAGTGATATCTAAGGATTTTATACTCAATCAGTTATTCAAGGATAAAACCAACAAGGAATTTTCAAATATATAAGAACTCGGGGGGGCCCTGGGGAGCGTCCGACTTCAACCCAGGTCATGATCCCGTGCTTTGTGGGTTCAAGCCCCATGTTGGGCTCTGTGCTGACAGCTTGGAGCCTGGAGCCTGCTTCAGATTCTGTGTCTCCCTCTCTCTCTGCCTCTCTCCTGCTTGCACTCTGCCTGTGTCCCCAAAATAAATAAATATTAAATTAAAAAAAAACTCAGGGAACATATCTTCTGAGAACTTAAAGCACTAGACGCTGAATTTCAGCAAACCAAGAGATGAATAAGGATTATGTGGCAAGGTTCTACCAAATATGAAAATGAAGGATGCAGTGGAATAAAACCAAAATAAATTTGCAGGACATGTATTAGGAAGAGAAAATCAGAATCTACTGGCTATTTCCTCTCTGCTCATAGCAAGGTCACTTTCTAAAGTAAAGATATCTCCCCTTGACCATTGGCCTGAAGTTTCACAAAAATATTTACAGGGAAGTATATGTTTTTGTGTGACAGAAAATAGAAAAGAATGGCATTGAAATTTCTCAGAAATAAGGGACACAGACAACTCCAATGACGCTTCAGTGAGGAAGTCCTGCATGGGGAGCAAGGAAAGGCCCCACTGTGATGGCATGTAGGTCAGGAAGGAGGATAAAAAGAGAATGGTTAGGATGAGAGACCAAAATAAGTGACAAGGAGGGGGAAAATGATGGAGGCCCACCTCCTGCTTCTCTTCCTCTTGTTCTTATCTTTATTGGCTTTATCATCCTAGATCCTGCCAATAAGCAATCTTCTAACCATGCAATATCATCCTTGCCCCCCAGGTAATTGGTCCAAAACCAAGTCTCAGACTCCTTCCCTACCCAGTCCACTCCATTCTCCCACAGCCCCTCCTATTTTACTGGTCTAGCACCTAGACTCTGATATTTCCAGTCCCACTAGTGACTTTTCTACTAATGTACAAGGTTAGCAGTTCAAGGTCAACTTCACAGTCATTCATCCTAGAGTGGGAAGAACACCTGAAAAACACAGTGCTTTAAAGTTGGAACATGTTCATTATTGGATCTAGTGTCAGGTGCATATTTTCTTTGCTAGGCTACTAGAAGGAATCCATGGGACCACTGGAAAACAAGAAACAGTTCACAAAAAATACTAGAAACTGAAACCAACAGTCAATAAAGAAAATGGAAAGGAAAAGAAAACATCTGAAAACAGAGAAATGGACTTCATTGGGCCAAAATTCCCCAAGAGAGTTTAGACTATCGTGTGGGACTCTATACAACAACTAGTTGTTGGGGCACCAGGGTAGCTCAGTCGGTTTAGTGTCCGACTTTGGCTCAGATCATGATCTCATGATCTCACAGTGAGTTCGAGCCCCACTTTGGGCTCTGTGCTGACAACTCAGAGCCTGGAGCCTGCTTCAGATTCTGTGTCTCCCTGTTTCTGTCCATCCTCTGCTTGCACTCTGTCTCTGTCTCTCTCTCTCAAAAATAAACATTAAAAAAAATTAAAATAAAAAAAAGAAAGAGAAATGTAGAAGCACTACAGTACATTCCAGCTATGAAGAGGGCAAGTCAAACAATCCATGACACTGTGTATCTAAATGCTTATGACTACTACAGGAGAATTAAAACTCAGGCCTCATAATCACAAAATCCTCTGGAAGCCTCTCATTGTAACAGCTTTGTAGATGGTGGTTCATGTCCCTTTTTAATCCAGAGGTGATTCTTGAGTAGCCAACAAATTGATGACTAGTAAAATCATTTTTAGGGGCTCCTGGTTGGCTCAGCTAGTTGGGTCACTGACTCTTGATTTTAGCTCAGATCATGTCTCATGTTTTATGAGCTAGAGCCCCACATCAGGCTCTGCACTGACAGTACAAAGCCTGCTTGAGATTCGTCCTCTCTCTCTGCTCTTCCCCCACTTGCACTCTAGTGGTCTCTCTAAAAATAAACTTAAAATTTTTAAATCATTTTTAGAAATCTTAGAAAGGCATTAGAACTCCAAAGGAAGTTCAGACAAATAAAGACCGAGAAAATTTGAATTTTCTGGATAATCTGGATAAAGTTAATTAGTATACTTAAAGAAAGTAATTTTTAAAAAAAGGAGTAAAAAAAAGCTCGTGATTAAAATTTGCTCAAGACTTTGGGAGGGAGGGGCCAAGATGGCGGGGCAGCGGGCTTCTCTCATCTCTGAAATGCAGCTAACCCTTTTGCACACCTAGAAAATTGATCTGAGGAATAAAACAACAATCTGCATAACTTAAGCTACAGGTAAGTGGCAGGGAGAGATGAACTGGGGGAGAGAGAAGCCATGGAGGGTAGGGAGCTGTTTATGAGAAGAGAGAAGAGACAAAGGGGGGAGAGTACAGGAAAAGCACTCCCCCCAGAAGTAACTGGAGAGAAAAGAGAGAGTGGAAGAACCCTCAAGTGACTGAACAAGAAGAGGAGAAAAGACAGGGTTGATACCATAAGGACTCTATAAACAGAGGAGAGCAGACTGGGAAATTCCTCAGCTCAATACCTGGTGGTGCTCAGCAGGAGGGGCGAATCCCCAGGAGCAGGCAGTGAGGTCCAAAGAGACAAAAGGCCACACAGGGAGAAGTGGTTCCCCTGCTAGGAGAGCATTTGGTAGAGGCCTTATGGTCTCCCCACAGGCAAAGATCCCAATGGACCCTGAAGAATAGTCACGTTTGCTGGCATTGGAGGAAAGATGCCAGGGGGTGGTGAAATCTGGTGCTGGCTAGATGTTCCAATTTACCATAATCCTTGAACCTTTACTGCCATGAAATTGCACGGACTTTTCTGGGGCAAGACAGCACCCAGCCAGAATTTTTCAACCTCTGCAATACTGCAATTGTACAAACATTCCCGGGAGCAAACTGGCACCCAGGCATTGCTTGTTGAGACCCTCCCCCAAAGGGTTGGAGTGGGCTCAAGCCACAGGGCCCTCAGAAATGAGGGGTATGGAAAGACAGTCCCAGCTGAGAAAAAATTTGGGAGGGAGGTGCCACCTGGCAGGCTGATGGCTTGGACATCAATATGTATTACAAACCTGTAATCATTAAGACCATATGGTACTGGCACTTGAACAGACACACAGATCAATGGAACAGAATAGAGAACTCAGAAATGGCCCCACACATGCATAGCCACCTAATCTTTGACAAAGCAGGAAAGAATATCCAATGGAATAATGACAGTCTCTTCAGCAAATGGTTTGGGAAAAACTTGACAGCAACATGCAGAAGAATGAACCTGGACCACAATCTTACACCATACACAAAAATAAACTCAAAATGTGGCACCTGAGTGGCTCAGTCAGTTAAACGTCCGTCATGGTCAGGTCATTATCTCACAATTCATAGGTCGGAACCCCGCATCGGGCTCTGTGCTAACAACTAAGAGCCTACTTCAGATTCTGTGTTGCCCTCTCTCTCTGCCCCTCCCCCACTCAAGCTGTCTCTTTCTCACTGTCTCTCTCTCTCTCTCTCCCTCTAAGAAAATAAATATTTAAAAAAATTTGTTAAATAAGTAAATAAAATAAACTCAAAATGGATGAAAGACCTAAATGTAAGTCAGGAAGCCATAAAAATCCTAGAGGAGAAAACGGGCAAAACCTCTTTGACCTTGGCCGCAGCAACTTCTTACTTGATATGTCTCCAGAGGCAAGGGAAATAAAAGCAAAAATGAACCATTGAGACATCATCAAGATAAAAACCTTTTGCAAGGCGAAGGAAACAATCCTCAAAACTAAAAGGCAAATGACAGAATGGAAGAATATATTTGCAAATGACGTATCAGATAAAGGGTTAGTATCCAAAATCCATAAAGAACTTATCAAACTCAACACCCAAAAAACAAATAACCCAGTGAAGAAATGGGCAAAAGACACGAATAGACACTTATCCAAAGAAGACATCCAGATGGCAAACAGACACATGAAAAAATATTCAATATCACTCAGCATCAGGGAAATACAAATCAAAACCACAGTGAGATACCACCTTTTACCAGTCAGAATGGCTAAAATGAACAACTCAGGCAACAACAGATGTTGGTGAGGGTGCAGAGAAAGAAGAACCCTTTTGCACTGCTGATGGAAATGTAAACTGGTGCAGCCACTCTGGAAAACAGATGGAGGTTCCTCAAAAAATTAAAAATAGAACTACCCTATGACCCAGAAATTACACTACTAGGTATTCATCCAAAGGATACAGGTGTGCTGTTATGAAGGGGCACATGCACACCAATGTTTATAACAGTACTATCGACAAAAGCCAAAGTGTGGAAAGAGCCCAAATGTCCATCAAAGATGTGGTATGTGTGTGTGTGTGTGTGTGTGTGTGTGTGTGTGTGTGTGTATTATTACTTGGCAATCAGAAAGAATGAAATCTTGCCATTTGGAACTACATGGATGGAACTAGAGTGTATTATGCTAAGTGAAATTAGTCGGTCAGAGAAAGACAAATATCATATGCTTTCACTCATATGTGTAATTTAAGATACAAAACAGTTGAACATAAGAGAAGGGAAGCAAAACTAGTAAAATAAACAGCGGGACAAAACATAAGAGACTCTTAAATATAGAAAACAGAGGGTTGCTGGAGGGGTTATAGGTGGGGGAATTGGCTAAATGGGCAAGGGGCATAAAGATGACACTTGTTGGGATGAGCACTGGGTATTATACATAGGGGATTAATCACTGGAAACTATTCCTGAAATCATTATTGCACTATATGTTAACTTACTTGGATGCAAATTTAATAAATAAATAAATAAATAATAGAGATACTCAAAATCATTAGTTATAAGGGAAATTCATATGAAATCCACATGAGATATCACTTCACAGTCACTAAGTCACAGTCACTAAGTCACCAGTAATTCTACTCCTCAGTATGTGCCTAAGAGAACTGAAAACATGACCCCACAAAATCTTGTACATCAATGTGCATAACCACTTTAGTCAAAATAGAATAAAGTGAAAACAACCCAAATATCCATCAGTTGATGAATGGATAAACAAAATGTGGTATGTCCATACAGTGAGATATTATTCAGCCATAAAAAAATGAAGTACTGATTCATACTAGAATATATATGAAACTTGAAATCATTATGCTAAGTGAAAGAAGCTAGGCACAAATGGCCACTTATTGTATAATCCCACTTATATGAAATGTCCAGAATGCAAAGACAGAAAGTAGATTAGTGGTTCTCAAGGGCTGCAGGGAAGATAAAAGGATGGAGAACAACAATCACTTCATGGGAACATGTTTCATTTTGGGATGATGAAATGTTTAGAAATGAATGCCAGTGATGGTTGCACAACTTTATAAAAATACTAAAAATCATTGAACTGTATACTTTATTTTTTGAAAAAATTTTAATGTTTATTTCAAGAGAGAGAAAGACAGAGCATGAGCAAAGGAGGGGCAGAGAGAAAGGGAGACACAGAATCTGAAGGAGGCTCCAGGCTCTGAGCTGTCAGACCAGAGCCTGACACGGGGCTCAAACCCATGGACTGTGTGATTATGACTTGAGCTGCAGTCAGACGCTTAACCCATTGAGTCACCCAGGTGCCTCAGAACTGTATACTTTAAAAGAGCAAATTTTGGGGCACCTGGGTGGCTCAGTCGATTGAGTATCTGACTTTGGCTCAGGTCATGATCTCACAGTCTGTACTGGCAGCTCAGAGCCTGGAGCCTGCTTCTGATTCTATGTAGCCCTTTCACTCTGTTCCTCCCCGCTTGCACTCTGTCTCTCTCTCAGAAATAAATAAACATTAAAAAAAATTTTTTTAAGGGCAAATTTTATGGAAAGGTATACCTCAGTGAAAGAGCTGATGAAATGTAAATTGTATCTGAACACACCTGACTTTAGATAAAAGTTAATGAAAAAATGGCTTGTGGTGGTAAAACCTAAGACGTAAGAAAACACAAAGAACATGATGCAAATTCAGAGATCTGTGAAATATCACAAGTATACAGAAGAATTTTTAAAAACAATTTAGTAACACACTTTCAGAGATTAAAGGAAAAAAAAATCTCTGTACCACCAACATTGCAAAGCAAGGACAAGTACAGTGTGGAGCCTGTCATACTCAAGAGGAAAAGGGGCAGCCTGAGAACACGATGCAGTTGCTTTAAGAAGCAGAGGCTGGGGCACCTAGATGACTCAGTCAGTTAAGTGTCTGTCTCGTGATTTCGGCTCAGGTCATGACATGATCTCACGGTTTGTGGAATCAAGTCCCACATGGGGTTCCATACTGTCAGTTTGGAACTTGCTTGGGATTCTCTCTCTCCCTTTTTCTCTGCCCCTCCCCTGCTCTCTCTCTCTCTCTCTCTCTCTCTCAAAATAAATAAGTAAACATTAAAAAAAAATCAGAAGGTTGGAGAAAATCAGAAGACAGAGAGCTCAAGGAGCATTTCCAAAGATACATCATCTCCTAACAAAAAAGAATAATTGCATCTTTATAGAGAATGACACTGGAGTTATGGGCAACTGCTTCATACAACCAATTATGAAAAGAAACTCATGAAATGGAATAGACAATGCATAGCTGGAAGTTCTCCAGAATGAGAAAATTAAAATCAGAGAAGACAGAGTTGGGCTATCTCCAGGGCAAATATGACTTTAATAATTGCTGAAAAAGATAGAGACCTTTGTTCAGCCCAAGTTCACCTGTAAAATTAATTCCAAACATTGAAGCAGAAAACCCCTTGGGGTGCCTGGGTGGCTTAGTCGGTTGAGTATCCGACTTTGGCTCAGGTCATGATCTCACAGTATGTGGGTTCGAGCCCCTCATAAGGCTCTGTGATGACAGCTTGTTCAGAGCATACAGCCTGCTTCAGATTCTGTGTCTCCTTCTCTCTGTGTCTCCTCTCTGTCTCCCCCTCCCCTGCTCATGCTCTGTCTCTCTCTGTCCCTCAAAAATAAATAAATGTAAAAAAAATTTTTTTTTTCTAAAGAAAACCCCTTAATTCACTTATAATCAGACCGGCATTTTTTTGGAAGAACATGGGCAGGAAGGGCAAGACAGGAGCAGTCAGCTGCAGAGGACAGATAAATATTTAAGCAGATAATTCAACAAATGAAGGGTAAGCTACAGAAAGTAACAGCATCGTATAAAGTTCAACTTGCTATCAACAGAGGAAAAGTTTGTGACAGCTAGCTCCATCCTAAGATAATAGAAGAGCTCTTACCTGAAAAGAAATAGCCACCTTTTTTTTTTAAATGTATTTATTTAGAGAGACAGAGAAAGAGACAGAGAGCAAGCAAGGGAGGGGAAGGAGGTGCATGGAGAATCCTAAGCTGGCTCTATATTGTCAATGCAGAGCCTGATGCAGAGCTCAAATTCATGAACAGTGAGATCATGACCTAAGTTGAAATCAAGAGTCAGATGCTTAACCAACTGAACCACCCAGGTGCCCTGAAGCAGCCACCTTCTTGAGGCAACAAATACAGGAAAACCTACTGAGGAAAGTATTCCAAAGACCAATAGCTATAGAACCAACTTTAATAATACCTTATCATCTACTGACCCTGGAAAGGGTTTCTAAAACCTGGTGGTGGTGCTTTGAGCCAATGCCCTGAGAGAAAAAACTACTGTACTGCCCAATGAGATATGGGTGAGATCTCTTTCTCTGACCCTGAATGGAGAAGATGGACCTAGAATGGATTGGATGCTCAGGAACCATCTTCTACCTAAGCCTAGAAATTGGCTGGGTCTCAAACACTGCTCCCTCTGACCTGAGTCCTGGGCAACTTCCAGGCTCATCAGGAACTTGTGAAGCTCCTCCTCTTTTATTCCATCCATTTCAAGAATGATTTTCATGAGCCCACAGTAAGAATACCCCAAGACCACCACCAACTGGTCAGTCTGTACCATCCCCTCAAGCACAGTCACCTCAAACACTCTCACTTTGCTTCCTCACCACATTCCTGGAGGGCTTCCATTTTAGCCCTAAGAGAAGGTGCCCAGTAGCCACCCATAATGGACCTGCCTATGGCCAAGATTACTAGAGACACTGAAGTATAAAGTATGTACATGGACAGAGCTCTAGGTAAATACATCATATTTTGGTTCTGACAAGATCACAAGGCTTCTCTACCAATAAGATCTCTCCATTTCTGGTGTGCACACTGGTCAGCAGGTGGTGAAGGAAAATTAAGTGAATGAATGAGCAGCTCATGTCTACAGATTATAAGGCATTCAGTGGGAAGGACAGTCATGTGATCTACCTGAGCTGTACAAATGTTGCTAGTAGCTTTGTCTCTCCGGATGTGTTGTTCCCTGGTTTGAAGAGCAAGACGATACACTTCTTTCCCAGTGGCATCTCTGGGCAGAGAATAAAACATCTAGTTAGCAAAGATAATCACTACACCAAGGGTAGTCACAAATAGACCTGCTTCTTTCCTTCCCAGCTTGAAGGGAACCCAGCGAATTTATTCGGCTGCAAGGCCATAAGGAAATAATTACCAAGCCGTCCACTTCTAAATAGGACTACTAATTTTTAGTATGTACTTTGAGGGAGGGACCAAGGTATACACAATAAAGCTAGGAACCTTGAATGGAAACTTCCCAGGAATTACCCAGGCTAATATAATGATGGTGAATGTGGACTGAATTTAAAATTAAATTTAATGAAAAAAAATTAAATTTAATGAGAATTAAAGTTGACTATGAGCTTCTTGGCACACACAGGAAAAGGGGAAATATCTCACAAAGGAATTAATTTCTTCACTGGAAATCTAAAATAACTATACAGCTATTAAGAAAAAGAATGTGCTGAATCACTAAATTGTACACCTGAAATTAATATTACACTGTATGTTAACTAAATGGAATTTAAATAAAAACTTAAAAAAAAAGAATGTTAATAATCTTACCACCTATCTCTAAGAAAAATTTTCCTTCTTTCTGAATACAGTTAATAATTTGGATAACATGGAGCACCTGGGTGGCTTAGTCGGATAAGGGACCTACTCATGATTTCGGCTTGGGTTGTGACCTCTTAGTCGGGAGATGAAGCCCCACAAGTAGGATTCCATGCTGAGTGAAGAGTCTGCTTGGGATTGTCTGTCCCTCCCCTGCTCGCTCACGCTCTCTCTCTCTCTCTCTCTCAAAATAAATACACATTAAAAGAAAAGTATTTGGATAAACACAAAGATTCAGCAGTCTTATCCTGTATTTCATCAAGCTCTGGGGTCCATTTTTCAGAAAGGTAAGTTCAATATAAAAATCAGCAGACAATAATTAATATATTAAACTTTTATTAATTAGAATAGTCTCTACCTCATCTCATCTGGTCAAAACACATCATTGAAAGAAACTAATGTAAGAATATTTGAAGACATTTATTTTTACACTGAAAAGCAAGGTGCCTCTTGCTATTATGTGATAATCCATGAGTATTTCAAAAATTCACATCATTCACTAATATAGACTATTCACTTAGGTTAGTAAGTCCAACCTCTATGAAAGGTCTAGTCTAAAAGATCATGCTAAATTTCCCCAGTAATGATCATGTCATTCATCTAAATTCTTAATCTGAGGAGCTTTATCAATGAATAGCACTTGGGAAGATACATTTGGAAATTACTAGCGGGGTGCCTGGGTGGCTTACTCAGTTGAGTGTCCAACTTCAGCTCAGGTCATGCATGATCTCACAGTTTGTGGGTTCAAGCCCCCAAGTCAGGCTCTGTGCTGACAGCTTGGAGCCTGAAGCCTGCTTCAGGATTCTGTGTCTCCCCCTCTCTCTCTGTCCCCCCCACCCCACCCCTGCTGGTGCTCTCTCTCTCTCTCTCAAAAATGAACAAATAAACATTTTTTAAAAATTCCTAGAATAAACAAGTGGCAGGCCTCTAGGATCACATTATGTTCATGATAATCTCTCACTATACTTGTATTTTACATAACTGTGTAGCATGATAATGCTTTTGAGAATGAAACTGGTCAGATAAAAAACACACCTAGAATATCAAGTCTTTCAATGCTTTCAACAACCTAATTTAATTCACTTATATGCCTTCAATACAAATATGTTATAAATTATTATATACATGGCCCAGGTAAATTTAGAGAGAAATCAACAACTTTTGTGATAAGAAGGAACAAAGAAACTAATAGTAACAATAAAAGGGTAAAAACATGAGCTGCTTTACCTTGTTACCCCCACCATTCTCCCAGGCATCATCCTCACCAAACTTTCTCTGACAGCGAAAAAGGCTGCATGTGGTCCGCCATAGCCCAGTGGCACTCCAAATCTCTGTGAGCTACCTAGGGCAATGTCTACACCAAATTCTCCAGGTGGCCTCAAGATACACAGAGCTAAAAGGTCAGTAGCACAGCAGACCAGGCTCTAAAGAGGAAACAAGAGAAAATGGACATGGTTGTTCCCTTCCCCTGAAAGAAATGGGAGAGTAGCAAATTATCCCCAATATAAGCAGACAGACAGAGGGTTGTTTCATGCCATTTACTCAATGATTCACTAAAAAATATTTACGGAGTTTTTACTATGTACCAGGAATTAGTTGGTGAACAAAACAAATTTGAAGGCAGGCAGGAAGGAGACAGTTTTACCATTCCAGGTGATACAAATATGGAAATTAAGACACATCCAAAAATCAATACAAAGTTGGGACAGACCTACGTGGACCCCCACAAGGAGACAGCTGCCTACCCCCGTCTGATGGGCCCTCTCCACGAGCTCTGTGAAATCTTCCACCTTCCCCTCAGTGTCTGGGTACTGGAACAGCACTCCACTAACATCTTTTCCACTGAAGTCCATTTCATGGGGTAATTTCAGCTCAATGAGAACTCCATTGTATCTGGAAAGACAGAAGACAAAGAACAATCATGCTTTTGGTTTTCAAAAGGAAATGAAACTCCGTAAAATTTGTTTTCAGTGATAGAGAATTCACATTCTGTGTCCTTCCTCGTTGCCACCACCCCCCCCAACTTCATCCAATACACACACACCCCCATCTCACACCTGACTGGTAACAATGCTTCACACCATCTCACATGCTGCCAACAGTCTGACTTCTGTTTCTCTCTTGTACCTTCCCTTACCATTCCCATTACCCCTTTCCTGCCAGAACCTTCTGAGAGGATCAGGAACATGGCTTCCTAGGACTAAAGAATCAATTCCTGCAATCACAGAGCTGTCTCACCAGGTCACCACCTTCACCCAGGATCAGCTTTAGATGAATGGAAAGCCATCAATTAAACAAAGAGAAAGACCTTCCTTAACCATCCAGTTTCAATCATATGTGAGAATACACCTTCTAAAGGGATGGTGGTATGGGGTGGGGGGAGATTGCCCAGCTCTTACAAGAAGAAAACAGGCGGCTCAGTGGTTTAAGTGTTCAGCTTCAGCTCAGGTCATGATCTCACAGTTTGTGAGTTCAATCCCCACATCAGGCTCTTGCTGACAGCTCAGATTCTAAAGCCTGCTTTGGATTCTGTGTCTCCCTCTCTGTCTGCCCCACCCCACTCACACTGTCTCTCTCTCTCTCAAAAATAAACAAGCATTTAAAAAACACAAAAGGGGCACCTGGGTGGCTCAGTCAGTTAAGCGTCCGACTTCGGCTCAGATCATGACCTCACGGTTTATGAGTTTGAGCCCCGCATTGGGGTCTGTGCTGACAGCTCAGAGCCTGGAGCCTGCTTCAGATTCTGTGTCTCCCTCTCTCTCTGCCCCTCCCATGTTAATGCTCTGTCTCTCTCTCTCAATAATAAATGTTAAAAAAAATTTTTTTTAGACACAAAAAAACAAGAAGAAAGCAAATAAACACACTGGCAAGTGATAGTTGTGCTGTTTATCTGATTGCAGCACTAAACAAATACAGTACACTTGCTTTAATCTATATCATACCACATCTAGGTTTAAGTGGATTCTGTATAAACTATGTTTGCAAGAATACACACAAAACCCTAATTGTGGGAGAGTTCCATTTTCTCCCTCTGCTTTGCAAACTCTGAAACATTGCTGAAATTATTTTAATATTTTAATTTTATTTTTACAAAAAGGAAACAAATAGCATGGTTACTCAATATAGAGCAGAGGTGGGGCACCTGGGTGGCTCAGTTGGTAAGTGTCCAACTTCAGCTCAGGTCATGATCTCATAGTTCATGAGTTCGAGCCCCTCTCAGGCTTTGTGCTGACAGCTCAGAGCCTGGAGCCTTCTTTGGATTCTGTGTCTCCCTCTATCTCTCTGCCCCTCCCTTACTTGTACTCTGTCTCTCTCTCAAAAATAAATAAAACATTAAAAATTTTTTAAAATAAATAAATAAAGCAGAGCCAACTAAAGTCACTCATGTGTTCTCTCAGTTCTGACACATTTTTCTTACCAGCAAGATCTCAGGAAGAAAGTGGGAAAGAAAGTAAAATTCAACAACCGCAATTTAAACCAGGTTCACTTCCAATCAGTTTGGAAGTAAGAAAAGAAACAACAGAGATGAGCATGATGCTATCCCTGAGTTCAAAACATGAGTGAAATTAATTACTTAGCTCGAGTCTGGACCACAGCTATTGTCTGTGGGTGGCAACGGGGGTCAACCAAAAATTTCTTCCTCTTATTGTGTCTGTTGGAAAGAAAAATCACATTAAAAAATGCACATTAAAGAAATCAAAGTATCTTCTAAGAATGCAAAGCAAAGTTGGTACTTAGGGAATCTCTGAGCATGGTATAAAATATGAGGCATTAATTACAGTGGTTAGAATTCTACTGAAATCCAATTTGTGTGGTTAAAAAAAAACAAAACAGTTACCAAATGGGAGTCACTTGTGCTAGGCCCATGTCACCAAACTGAGGCTTAATACATACCTGATTACAACCTTCCCTAGTAATATAATCTTACCTAGTCAGTCTAGAATATCCTGGTAAGCACCAAAGAGGTAATTCACCTAATAAAACACTTTTTGTCTCCCAAAGGAAAGTGACCTTGCTCTAAATAATCCTTGTTTTGTTTCTTTAGGACTTCCTTCACCTACCTTTAAAAACCTTTCCCTTTCAAACTGGACAGAAACATGTAAAAGGATGAAACTGGACCACTTTCTTATACCATACATAAAAATCTATTCGAAATGGAGGAAAGGCCTAAATGTGAGACAGGAAACCATCAAAATCCTAGACGAGAGTACGGGCAGTAACCTCTTTGACATCAGCCATAGCAACTTCTTACTAGATGGATTTCCTGAGGTAAGGAAAACAAAAGCAAAAATGAACTATTGGGACCTCATCAAGATAGAAAGCTCTACACAGCAAAGGACAAAATCAACAAAACTAAAAGGCAACCGATGGAATGGGAGAAGATATTTGCAAATGACATATCTGATAAAGTGTTAGTATTCAAAATCTATAAAGAACTTACCAAACTCAAAACCCACAAGACAAATAATCCAGTGAAGAAATGGGCAGAAGACATGAACAGACACTTTTCGAAAGAAGACATCCAGATGGCTAACAGACACATGAAAAGATGCTCAACATCACTCATCGTCAGACAAATACAAAATAAAACCATAATGAGATACCACCTCCCACCTAGCAGATTGGCTAGAATTAACAACACAGGAAAGAACAGATGTTGGTGTGGACACAGAGAAAGGGGGACCCTCTTACACCATTGGTGGGAATGCAAATTGATGCAGCCACTCCGGAAAACAGTATGAGTTTCCTCAAAATGTTAAAAATAGAACTACCCTATGATCCAGCAACTGCACTACTAGATATTTACCCAAAGGATACAAAAATACAGATTCAAGAGGATACATACACCCCAATGTTTATAGCAGCATTATCAACAATAGCCAAATTGTGGAAGAGACCAAATGTCCATTGACTGATGAACAGATAGTGATACACACATGCACACACGGGCAGGCACAGGCACACACACACACACACACATACACACACGAGCATGCACAATGGAATATTACTTGGCCATCAAAAAGAATGAAATGTTGTCATTTACAACAATGTGGATAGAGCTAGAGAGTATTATGCTAAGTGAAATAAGTCACTAGGAGAAAGATAAATACCATATAATATTACTCATATGTGGAATTTAAGAAACAAAACAAATGAACATAGAGGGGGGAAAAGGAGGAAAATCAGGAAACAGACTCCTAACTATAGAAAACAAACTGAGGGCTGCTGGAAGGGAGGTGGGCAGGGGGATGGGTTAAATAGGTGATTGATACTTAGGAGGGCACTTGTTGTGATGGGCCCTGGGTGTTGTATAACTGTTGAATCACTAAATCCTACACCTTAAACAAATATTACACTGTACATAAACTAACTGGAATTTAAATAAAAACCTGAAAAAAGAAAATTAAATCATTGAGGTGGGGGGTGGGGGAGAAACCTTTCCCTTTCTGTAGCCCTTTGGTGCTCCGTTCTACTTTATTTATCTTTATTGAATAAACATCTTTAAATTTACTCAGTTGAATTGGGTTTTTTTTAACACCAATCTGATCCATTTAGCAAAATCAATCTTAAGTTGGTTTAAATTTTGAAAAATATGCTAGGAGTTAAGAGAAATAAAAACAGGGTAGCAATTGGGTGCAAGTTGAAATAAAAAACTGTTTTCTTTTTTCTTTTTTTCTTAAAATTTTTTTTTAAATTTTCACTTATGTTTGAGAGAGAGACGCACACAAAGCATGAGAAGGGAGGAGTAAAGAGAGGGAGACACAGAATCTGAAGCAAGCTCCAGCCTCTATGATATGGGGCTCGAACCCATGAGGCATTAAATCATGACCTGAGCCAAAGTTGGGACGCTTAACCGACTCAGCCACCCGGGTGCCCCAAAACTAACTCTTGAAATAAAAACATCTGAGAATTTTACTGCCAAAGAAGCATTTAGAGATTGTCTAAACCAAATGTCCTCATTTAGCAGAGATGAAAAGGACTGAGTTAAGTTGTGACATGTACAGCACCACACAGCTCCTAAAGGACCCAAATCCTGGGAGTTTTCTAACAATTCATGATTTCAGGAAATCAGACTGATAGGGATTGTTAAAAAGAAAACCATAGGCCCAAAATGGTATTTCTCGGGCCAAGCCCAGTCACCAAACCAAGGCTTAATTACTAACCTAATTGCAGTTTCAACCTCCTCCAGAAATTTAGTCTTAACCTGTGAATCAGGAATTTTCAGATAAGTGCAAAGGTGATCTGTCACAGGGGTGTTCTCCATCCACCAGAGGCTAGATGAGGTCATCTGCAAATAATAAGACCCCCTTACCTCCTCCCTAAAGGGAAGGTGATCTTGCCTGGATTCTTTACTTTTACTTATCATTTTCTTGCCCTACCCTGCTTTCCATAAAAAACAAAAACCTTCTTGTACAACTCCTCAGGGAGCCTTTCTACCCTTTAGATGGAACACTGCCCCATTTATGAATTGTTTAATAAAGGCAATTAGATCTTCAAATATGCCCAGTTGAATTTGGTTTTTAAAACAGGATACATAACAGTTCATGTATCATGAGCACATCTGGGTGAAAAAGGTGGGAAGCGCATATATATTGTGCTTTTCATTTAATTTCCCAGAAAGGTACACAATGACCAGTTAACAACAGTTTTCTCAATGGAACAGGACTGCGAAACAGCAGGTTTCACTTCATTATATTTTCTACTGTTTGCATATTATTTCCACTCTTAACAGGTATTTTTATAATAAGCATAAGTTAATAGAAGAATAAGTAGAGTTGGGGAAATACAAAAGTGATTAATTACCCAAAGCACAATGCTCTTCACAGTGTGAATCTAAGTAAATCGAGAGAAGAGCCATCTGAGCCTAAATGACCTAAGATGGAAACAAAAAAAACTGCTATTTTAAAGAACATTTTCCTGAAGACAAAAAGCACAAGGCTGCTTTTCAAGGGTATAATTAAACGCAGGCCCGAAGGTATGAGACTGAAGAGAGAGGAAGCAAATCAAGCATTTACAGAGTAGTAGGTCATTAACTCAAATCAGAACCATCAACCAGAAAGACCTCAGCTTCTCCAAGTGTGAAATGGAAGCCCTTACCTAGAAAGAGAGTCAGGGAGGAAAATGAAAAGGCAGCACAAAGGTGGATGAGGAAGACAAAAATATGAAAAGCTGAGAATAGAGAGGTATTCCTTTTTGGCTGTCCTCCCAGGGTAAGGAGGAAGAGCCTGAGCCCACCCCTAGGGCTGCTTGGGAAGCAGAACAGCCTGCGGCAGGATATTTAGACATTTCCATACCTGGTAAGCGAGTTTGGAGTTCACTACTGCAATGTTATGATGTATAAGAAATACATATTTGGTCATTCAGAATTGAGTTGAATTCTTGGACACCTGCCTCTGTCCAAGAATCGTTTGTTGGTGTGGGGGAAACTTCCATGCACACAGAACCAATTTAACCATCCCTTAAGTCTGTGGAAGCCAAGAAAGAGACTTACATGAGCATTCAGGGCCAGAGGCACAAAACCTCACAGACACACCAGTGAATGTGGGCAGATTTCCCCACCAGATGACATCTACATGAGAATTCTACCAGTAAGGTAAGCTCAAATGTACTCACAAGGCAAGAAGCAAAGGAAGGTGGAAACTGGAGAGCAATTGTTAAGTATATACCATGACCCGGCAATTCTACTTCTAGAAATGTGTCCTCAGGAAATAATCGGAATCTTTGACAAAATTGATTCTAAAGATGTAAAAATAACAAGAACATTAGTAACTGTAAAAGATAGGATTAAAATACGTGTGAAACAATAGAGGTGAGGTTACATAAATGATGGTATTTCCATACAAGTGAGTACTATCATGTAGTCAATAAAAGCCATATCCTAAAAAGCTGACTAAAGAAATGGGGGGAACGTTCACCATATATTGTTAAATAGAAAAAGAAAGCAGGCTATAAAAATTATATACAACCAAAAACAATATGCTTCATGAAAGAAGGTAATATTTATGTATTACAATACAGACTGCCAGTTCCTTTGTAATATCCATTCTCTCCTGAACCAATAATAGTAACAGAATCCCAATATGTAAGGGGGCAGCAATGTGCCCATCTAGTGAAAACCACATTTCTCCAGGCCACTTGTAGATAGATGTGCTCAATGAAGAGTAAAGTTGCTGAGTTGGGGCTTCCAAAAGTTGGGGCTTCTTTAAAGTGCAGCGTTGGTGGTATAGTGGTGAGCAGAGCTGCCTTCCAAGACTCTTTAAAGAGGGCTTATTTAGCTAGCAGCACCCTTTACACTGCCCCTTTTCTTCTTTCTGGGTAGAGGTCATGGTGAAAGCCCCAGCAGTCATTTTGTGACCATGAGGACCAAGACCTCACGCTGAAGATGGTACAGGGCAAGGAGCTTGATACTATCTCAGAATTGCTGTAACATCCCTGAACTTAACACTATGTAAGAGGACAAATGTTTTTCTTCTGTAATGTAAAACTGAACAATAGTGGCTTTAAAAAGTAGCTTTTTTAGGGACACCTGGGTGGCTCAGTTGGTTAGGCATCCAACTCTTGGTTTCGGCTCAAGTCATGATCGCACAAGTCATGAGTTTGAGCCCCACATTAGGCTCTGAACTGAGAACACGGAGCCTTCTTGGGATTCTCTCTCCCACTCTCTGCCCTTTTCCTGCTCATGCTCTTTCTCAAAATACAAACTTTAATAAGGTAACAAGTGGCTTAAAAAGCTTTAAAAAACCACAGTTTTATTTCAGATTTTGTTATGTCAGGTGACTAGTATAATGCTATGTATGTCTGTGTGAGAGGGATGAGTCACTGGACACTGACAGGGCCAGCTTCACCAGCACAGCAGGTGAGACTGGAGGATGTCCCTTGCCCTATGGGCCTCTCACCTGTGGCACAGCTGCATCGCCTCAGCAGCTGCTGTAGCCTCATCCAGCAGGGATGCGTTGGCCATGTCCATGCCTGTGATGTCGCACACCATGGTCTGGTAGTTTAGTAAACTCTCCAGTCTCCCCTGAGACACCTCTGGCTGGTATGGAGTATATTGGCTGATCCTGTGAGAGACATAAGAGGCCGTGTCCAAACTCTGACTCCACTATTGGGAAAAGCTCACAGAATGTCTTCATTTTGGAATTTAGTAACTGAAAATTAATTTTGCCCCTCTTGAGAATTGTGTATCAGTAAGCTTCCCTTTGACCTTTGTTGGTTTTTTTTTTCTTTTTCTTTTTTCAATTTTTTTTATTTTTTAAAATTTACATCCAAATTAGTTAGCATATAGTGAAACGATTTCAGGAGTAGATTCCTTAATGCCCCTTACCCATTTAGCCCATCCCGCCTCCCACAACCCCTGTAGTCACCTTCAGTTTGCTCTCCATATTTATGAGTCTCTTCTGTTTTGTCCCACTCCTTGTTTTTATATTACTTTTGTTTCCCTTCCCTTATGTTCCTCTGTTTTGTCTCTTAAAGTCGTCATGAGTGAAGTCATGATTTTTGTCTTTCTCTGACTAATTTCACTTAGCATAATACCCTCCAGTTCCACCCATGTAGCTGCAAATGACAAGACTTCATTCTTTTTGATTGCTGAGTAATACTCCATTGTATACCACAAGATGTATACCACATCTTCTTTATCCATTCTTCCATCGATGGACATTTGGGCTCTTTCCATACTTTGGCTATTGTTGATAGTGCTGCTATAAACATGGGGGTGCATGTGTCCCTTGGAAACAGCACACTTGTATCCAATGGATAAATGCCTAGTAGTGCAAGTGCTGGGTCGTAGGGTAGTTCTATTTTTAGTTTTTTGAGGAACCTCCCTACGGTTTTCCAGAGTGGCTGCACCAGCTTTCATTCCCATTCCCTTTGACCTTTGTAAGGAAGCTCAGAGATAAGTCATATTAACAATATTATCTTTTGCTTGGGTACATTCAGTATTTACATTTCTATCTCTTTAAGTTATTTTTTAATCTTACATTTCTTTTTTTATTAATCTTACCTTTCTATTTTAATAACCTTTTCATATCTATGTCCAGTAAAACCTTGAATTGAGAGTAACTTGAGCAAACATTTCTAATAAATTTTAACTTGACAAATGAGCTATGTCATGATCACAACTGAGACAATGGTTCTTGAAATTCACTGATATGCAAGTGCTTTGGATTACAACCATGTTTCTGGAACCAAGGTTTTACTGTATTTTATTATAAGCTGGCTCTTAAAATCCACTTGAAGCTACCTATAGCAACATAAACAGAAGTTTTACTCCCTGTTATCTTTCTTCTAGCTAAGACTACCTCAATCACAGTTCACAATAGGAAAGCATCCAAGAATCTACTATTTAATACTCAAAACTTATTGTTTAGGGGCACTTGCTTGGCTCAGTTGGTTAAGCACCTGGCTCTTGGTTTTGGCTTAGTTCTTGATCTCACAGTTTGTGAGTTTTAGACCAGTGTCAGGTGGGCTTCTCATGGGGATTTTCTCTCCTCACTGTCTGCCTTTACCCCCCACCTTAAGTGCACGTGCACACACATGCATGGACTTTCTAAAATAAATGCTAAAAAAAAAAAAAAATTCAAGGATATAAATGGTTAGAAAGCAGCATGGATGTGAGTTCTACCCTTATATCCTCCAGTTACTAGCCAAAAATGGTTTATTAGGTATTTGAGTTAACCCACTTAGTGCCTTCATCCTTTTTTTTTTTTTTTTCATTCCTTCATTCACTCACTCATCCATGTTATTACATGCCTACTAAGTGTCAAGAACCATATAATAAGTTCTGGTAATGATACATCATAAGCAAATAGATCCCTGATATCAAGGAGAACATACTGTAATGGGGAAAAAGTGATAATAAATGAAATTATTTCACCATGATAATATTTTAAAGAAACTAAAATAAGCTGATAAGATAGAGGGTAACTGAGAACGTGTGGTAGAGCTATCTTTTCACCAAGAATCTGTTCACTCTGACAACCACCAAAGTGGGATAGATTGGGGCCCACACTCCCACATATGGTTGACATAACTCTATTTTTGTTCTTCCCAGCCAGGAAAGCATTAGGAAAAAAATTTAGGCTTTTTGTTTTGTTTTCACTTTTTCAAGCCTTATGCCTTTCTCTCCTCCTCTGGTAATCATGTACAGGATATTTCCATCCTTTTTCTTTTTTCTTTTTTGAAGGCTTTGAAAACAATACTTCTTATGTTGAGCAGAAGTGGGTGGGGGAACTTGCTTTACCAAGCAGTACAATGTCAAGACTTTGAAATAATTTTCCCAAAACTTTTATTGGTATAGCTGTGTGTGTGTGTGTGTGTGTGTGTGTGTGTGTGTGTGTACACGCACATGTGTGCGTGTGTGTGCGCACAGCAGAGTACATTTTTGTTTCAGTTAACTCCTTGAACAGCCTGCCTTAGCAACTCAGTTTGCCAAATTCTAACTGGGTGGTGAACTGGAATGAATGAGGCACACAATACATGTTGTAGACAAGTAGAAAAGGAATTTGAGTAGAAATGGGGTCACACAAAAGGCATAGACAAGGAGCAATTGTGACCTCACATCAGATAAGACTTTCACACACAGCATTGCCTGCCACCACAAAGACACGCTTAGTATGCCTGGCTAACATGAAACTTTATTCAGAGTCATTATTTTACATATAGACAGACACACAAACTTGCATACATGCACATACGAGCGTACACACAGATTAGCTAGTCCATCTAATGAATGGGAGAGACCCAGTATATCCAATGACATATAATATACAATAGGAATACAGAGAGCAATGCTCCAAAGCACTGAAAGTTGAAAAATGAGGAACAAAATGAAGTGTCCACCGAAAAAGAATGATTGGACACTATACACACATAATACTATGCATTTACTAAAAATGATGGATAAAAGAATATTTCCTGACATGGAAATGTTCCCAATATATTAATTTTAAAAGTACAATGTAAAATTCCTTGATCCCATTTTTATAAATTCATAAAAACAAGTAAACCAAAGTGTAAACTATAGTTTTCTCTGGGTGGTTTTTACTTCCTTTTTATTTTGTATTCTGAATATTAAAGACCTCTGCTACCATTTATTAATCACTTTATATATCAAGAATTGACAACCTTACACCTTTTCATTGTACAAAGTGAAAAACTCAGTCAACTGTCAAAAAAATAAAATCACTCATTATCCCAAAACTCCATTGTTATAATAGTTAACATTTACATACATTTCTTTTGTGTTTTTTCTTTTTCTCTTTTGTGACAGGCACACTCAACTATTATGCTGTCCATTTTTCTGTTGTGTTGTCTGTCTCTTGTTGATTTGTGACTTTTCTTTATAATTCTTTTTTCTCCAGCTTTATTGAGGTAATCAAAGCTGTATATATTTAAAGTATGCAATGTAATCATTTGATATATATGTATACATTGTGAGATTACCAGTTGGTTAATTTACTCTCTTTTCTACATCATATATATGAGAGTAAATTAACTCATATATATACATATATGAGATATATATATATGAGATATATATTA